ACTCCCAGAATTCCCCAGCCATTGCTTGCTGGCTGGGAAATTCTGGGAGTTGAAGTCCACCCGTCTTAAAGTTGTCAAGATTGAGGAACCCTGCCTGAGAGGGACTTGGGGGACCCCAGGGGTCCTAGGACCACACCTTAGGAAACACTGCTCAGAAGGAACTCAGCAATAGTTCCTGTGTGTCAGATTCATTGACTAAAAATTGCCCTGAATTGAACTCTGTTTCTGAATTACTATTAAATATCAGTTCTGCTGAGTGGGAGAATAGTTCTGGGCATTTGCCCCCTTATTATTTATTTTGTTTTGGTTCTATATTATAGTTTCACAGTGCAATTTCTAAAATAGCAGGTGCAATGTAAAACAAACAACATGAATAAAGGGGAGGATCTGCATTTAACACAGCCCAAGGATTCTCCCAGATATTCAGATATGTGTCAAAATGACACTAACATCAGTGTCAGCTAAACTTCTGAGGGCATTCTTTATGCAGGGGGCCATAGCTGAGATGGCATTCCCGTGCATCTTCACAGGATGGACAGCTGCCAATGGTCTCAGCAACAGAAGCTGAGGGAAAGCCCCCTTAGCAGACCTTAATATCTATATTAATAAATCCTGGAACCTATTTTTCCCCCTTTGCTTAGGTAAAGAGCTACTGGTTCCACTCTCCAGCTCTGTATCCTTTCTGCAAAGTAATAGGATTGTGGAAGATCTTCAACTTGCCCTTTTTAACTTTTCTTCTTCATAAGTCCTTTTCTTTTCTAGTAATTTGGCAGTGGGGTTAATCTACAATCAGTTTACCGAGTTACTGTTATTTTGGTGAGCCCAAATTCATTTTGCCACTTCTAAAGGAGAAAGGTTTAAATGATGTTTGCACAGGCCAACTATTCTGCTGCCATCTTTTCTGAAGGGAACAAATCCAGAGCCATGTTACCTTGCAAGCTATAGATTTCTGTATGTTGGGTTCAGTAAATAAGAGGCTTTGTGAGGGCTTGCAAAGAATCTAGAAAAGAAGGAAGAAAAATCTAATCAAAGTTAACTAAGAAATCAGAGTCACCTTCAGGATAATGCTATACATTTCAGCAGAAAGCAATTGGCATGTTTGTATGACACATTGATTGCAGTTTAGGATGAAGCATAATGTGTGAACCAGCGCTGGATGGCTCTGTAGTGTACTTTCTGTTGTGACTTCCACCAGTTGCTCATCTGAGAAACAGAAAAGGTGCTACCCATGGCAGGTGAAGTGTAGCCAGATGACACACTAATCACACTTTCAGGAAAGTCTCAGAACCTTGTTAGTTCCATTTTAAGTATTTGTAAAGTGTGTTTTTGTACAAGAAATTGCAGCACTTTAAAGCAATCATATGTTAACAGTTAATAAAAAGCTGTACCAAGAAAAGAGCAGGAGAAGGATAAGCATCTTTGGGGTGCACTGTTTGTAGTTCAGTCTCTAATTCCTGCATTAGATCAAGCTTTCTACTGAGAAAATAAAAAATTGCTGAGAACTCTCTCTTATTTCTGTGTTTCTAATTCAAGCTCTCTGAGAGAAAGGTCATTTGTTAAAGGGGGAGGGGTATCTTTTCATTTAGCTCATTTTGTATTTGTGTATATGCATTTCTTCCTGTAGCCTTCTGTCAAATGAAATTTTTCCAGGTAAGTGCTGTCTCTATGGTTAGATGGGACTTCTGTAATTTACCTTGATTGTAGCATTTGGGATTTTTAAGATACTAGAAAAGGCAAAAGAAAACTTATAAGTTAATATGGAGCCACATTGATTAATCAAATATTAATGCTCAAGAATCTCCTGTTTTCTAATGGAGACTACTAGTGTCCTTTACTTAGGGAGCTATAAAGATGTGCTTTGTTTTAGGTTTTCTCAGTGCATAGCACATGTGGGAAAATGTGTTTGGTTGTATGTTTTTAGATACAGGTGGCAACCTCTGGCTCACTTAAAAAAAAAAACCAAGTGAGCTTAGATCTGCTGAGTATTTGGATGGGAGACCACCAGGAAATCCCAGGCTAGTCTAAAGTGGTCTCAAGGAATCATTAATGTAAATCAGCCAAACTTAGAGCTATTTTTATGGCACAATATGGCTTGGCTATTTTGTAAAGCTGGGCAGAGGCTGAGAGTCAGTTTCCAAAAGGTGTTTTAGAGCACAATGGTTGTACCTTCTGTGACTCTTTGGACTGCCTTAAGGTGCTATACTTCATCCCACAAGCTCCAAACAATTCCAAAAGCACTCATAGCTCTACTATTTTGCAATTTTTATTTATTTATTGAAGAGCTACTGATGCCGTGTTTTATAATGCTACCTCAGTTATAACTATTCTAATATTGTTTCTTCATCAGCATAAGGGTTATGACCCAGCAATGCATGGGACTTTTTTACTTTCTCCAATGGGGGATTTTCCTTTTGGACTAGAAATTTAATTATTTTTTCCTCTTGATTGTGCTAGATTCTCCCCAGCTCTTGTGTTTTTCCTTAACCTCTTTTTACAGATGTATGTTCCTGGGAAGCTTTCCGATGTGAGCCATGTATTGTTAGATGTAGGGACAGGTTACTATGTAGAAAAGGTAAGTCATTTATGTGAGGCTGAGGTTAAAGTAGCTGCACAATTGTAAGGAAGCAGCAATATACAATCTATCATTATAAAAAATGCAGAGGTCTGGTCCTCTGCCATACAGGCACAGTTGTATTTCTGAAGACACTCAGCCTGGAGAAAAATCTTGTGGACTCTTTTGTAGCTTATTTTATCTGCCAGATTGAGCAGATTTTAGCATTAATTATTCTGAGTAAAAGGAGGTTATGATTCAGGCATTCCTAATCTGATGTCTGATAAGACAGATAATTAAGAACAAGCACCACCACATCTACTCTTAGGTCAGTCTTCCACAGCTTGACACCTTCCAGAGGGAGGAGATTGCAGTGAGGACCATCTCTAACCCACACTGGCCCTGAATTGATTTGTAGTTGAACTTATCTGGAGGAGAGTGCTGTTTTCTGTCCTTTTTGTAAATTGTACTGTGCTGATTACTCTGTGGTAAAGATCACCTCATGAATCTCCTCTGATCTGCTTTTATGTGGAAGTAT